ATTTCTTTTTTTTTTTTTTCTATTCAACTGAAAAATCTTTCAATCGCTAATTCTTGATCAACAATAAATAATATAACACTAGATACAGATCTAATTGAAAAAACTCAATAAATGTTCAAAATGTCCACCTTATGCTGGAGCACCGTCATGCATAAACCACATATGATTTTGTGGTCTAAGCAGCACATCTTCCAGTAAAATAGGCAAATCTTCTTCAAGAAAATGATGATATCTCTCTCCATTTAATCCCTGCCCACACATTGAAAGATAACTGTTCTTGGAAATGTGATTTCTGTATCGCATGGGAAATGGAAAGTAAGGAGTGAGAAGTGCCCGAACTCTGAATATGGTAGGGATATAATCAGTTATAAATTAAAATTTTCCATCCAGAATATGAGAAATGTTTACCGTCAGCGCTATTTTTCGGGGGGTTCTCCTACCAGATTAAGAACTGATTCCTCAGTTGCTGGGGTTCTTACCGTCCGATGTGCAAACAGATACTCTGCATTTTAAAGTTTACCATTTTCAAACAAATAGTCACACTAATAATAAATAAAACAATTCAACTATGTATCAAGATATTATTTTTGACAATACAAAAACAAACATTAAAATAAACTTACTAGCATATTCGATACTTTTATTTTCAAAGAGTTCGCGACTTTTGAGAAACATACCTTTTTCACGTAAAAATAATAAAGGAATCGATTTTTTTTCTAGAAAATGTGATACATACATGCATGATAAATTTGTGATGCCCCAAAAGAGACCAAGGCCTGTGGGTGGCGCCCCCTACAATTAACTTCCTAACTAAAACCAAACTTGAATTCATTATATTAAAGTCTCCAAATACCAATTTTTGTCCAAATATCGACATTATTTGCAAAATTATTCACGAAAAACCAAAATAAAAATAAATTTTCGACACCATGTATGTCAAAAATGAAGGCCTTGCGGACCCATGCTTGTATGAACTTTTTACCTAATAACTGAGGAACCGTTCTGTAAAATATCGGACACTCATTACATAACACCCTGTATAAAGTAATCAAATTTCATAAAAAATTGATTTTTTCAATAAAAATGCTCAAATCTATGCATTATGAAAAATTATATATTTCGGAGACTAGGACATGAAACAAAAGAAAGGCATAAATTAGTAGAGTGGACTGAATGGAGATGAAAAAGGTCTGGAAATAAATTTTAACTGCAATGTTTGGTTTTTATTGTAATTTTTACTCACAAAATAGTGTTTTTTAAAAGATTTTAAAAGAAGCTCCAACTTTGAAACTATTCCTTGTAAGTTTAAAAATCAATGAAACTTTTCATGAAAATTGATATTTATTGATTATGTATGAATATATTCGAACTATATTGATGTGAGGATGAAGAAATTTGAATCAATCAATAAATATTAAATTTCACACAAGAATCCTAATACTGGCCATCTATTGTCAGAGCTAGTTCAACAAATATTATTTTCTTTCAAAAAGGACATGAAGTAGGAATGTTATGTTCTTTATATGGGCCCTGTAAACAAGATCACTCTCAAATCATAACATATGTAGGACAATATAAATTTAATCTTTCATGAAGGAATATCAGGATGTTCAAGTGGTATTCAGAATTGGAATTTATTAAATTATGAAAGATACAGTGACACATTCACATGTAGAGATTTCACTTTCAACAATATACTACTATCTAGATCCTAGACAACACCGGATATCACATGAATACCTAATTCATGTCCAATTTAGGTTAGAATACATCAGGATATGAAATAAACATTCAGAAGATGCCCCTCAGTTCATTCAAAATAGAACTCTTTCGAAAAATATGCTGTCGATATACAAATGAAATATAATAAACAAGTTCCAAAATTTGAACATGCATTGGACTACTCAAGATTTTTGAATTTAACTTTGCCAATCTCATGTCCTGAAATCTCCACACTACTTAACAATGTTTGACCACGTTTATTTTAGGTATTAAAAAAATTGTAATAGCCATACTAGGTAAAGACTTTCACTGACTATATCGCTACGTTTTGATTGTTTTCTTTCAAAATGGTCTTCTAGAGATGAAATTAAAAAGATTGATAATGGAGTTTCAAACCCATTTCTACTTCCAGACGTACTAATTTTTATTCTCAGAACATCAACTGGATATCCATAAGATATCCTTGGAGAGAACATCATATATCTGCTATATCCAAAGGGGATGTTCATTGGGTATCCATTGAATGTCCACTGAATGTTCAGTATGTTGACTAAATACATCAAGATAGCTGAATTTAAAAATAATACCAGAATCGAAAATTTCATTTGTATTTATTGGGATAGGCTTTAACCTTCCAGTATTCTTATTAAAATACTAAGTATAGATTAGTAACGGAAAATCAACAATAAAATGGCAACTGGTTTCAATTGACTATGTTGAGGCTTAGTGAGCTCCATTAAAAATATTTATAAAAATCATAGATTACTTTTACTACTACCAAAAATAGATAATTTTAGATGAACTCTTGATTTTTTGTTATAAAATACAATACACTTGTTATGCACTGTTTGGAACCTTTGGTGTAGTAATGAATATTACTGGAGTTTTTTCCCAACACCAAACCGTTATTTTAACACCTCGACACGTGTTTCGATCACCAAGTGATCATCTTCAAGAGGAAGACCAAGCTAATCCTATATACAAAGTTTTTCTTATTTATACCATAGGTACCTCTTCTTGGTACCTGCGTCTCGAGTGCCTTAAATTAATTTTACAATGTTTCTTTATGTGATAGTCATGTAAATCTAATAATTAAAATATTATTTTAACAAGCCATATAGTATACTATTAGGTATTGGTCCACCATCGTTATTCATAATATTATTATATTTACGTACCTCTACACTCTCATAGGCATCTAGTTGCCTGTTATTGTTAACTTGTCTAACTAATCTTAATGAACTGAAGTCTATGGAATGGTTTTGTTGCAAAATATGATGGGCGACTGCTGATTTTTCAGGTCTTCCATATTTTAAGTGTGCTAAGTGTTCTTTATATCTTATTTTAATATACTTTTTTGTCTGTGTGCATAATATTTTGCATCGCAGTTCTTACATTCAATTTTGATGCAAAATATTATGGACAGACAAAAATATATATTAAAATAAGATATAAGGAACACTTAGCATACTTAAAATAGGGAAGACCTGAAAAATCAGCAGTCACCCATAATTTATTTCATCAAAACCATTCCATAGACTTCAGTTCATATAGATTAGTTTGACAATTTAACAATAACAGGCATCTAGATGCCTATGAGAGTGTAAAAATATGTAAACATATTAATATTATGAATAACGACGGTGAACCAATACCTAATAGTATACTATATAGCTTGTTAAAATAATATTTTAATTATTAGATTTACCTATTACATAAGGAGATATTGTAAAATTAAAAAATAATTTAAAACTAGTAGATAAGGCAATATTGTGAAATTAATTTTATGTAGTTGTTAAAATAATATTTCAATTATTAGATTTACCTGACTATTACATAAGGACACATTGTAAAATGAATTTGAGACTAAACTTTGTAAAAAGGATTAGTTTGATCCTCCTCTTGAAAATGATCACTTGGTGATCGAAACTCATGTTGAAGTGTTAAAATAACTGTTTGGTGTTGGAAAAAACTCCAGTTATACACTTAATACACTCATTACACACACATGCATCATCAATACCTGACTTTTATAAAGCATCATTTTCTTCTAAAAATGAGAAATGAAGACAAAACCATTCACGTTTGCTTTAATCCATGAAAGCTCTTGTTTGAATGCTAGCTTAATAATGATAAATTCCCAAAATGTAGAGAGTATCAACAGAAACAGTCACAATATTTCCCGATTATAAACTAGGAATAAATACATAGAACAATAAAATAAGCTATCATAAATTTAGAATGAGAAATATTCATTCTAAATTTCATTTGAAGCTCACTTAAACTATTGAAATGAGTTCTCAAGCCTAAGTGTTAGCAAGAATTGACACAAATGTCAAAGTTACTATGTACGGATTAGGGTGTCTATTATTGAAAATATATACACATACTTCAAAAATGAACAGACTACACAAAATTAAAATTTAGTTTGTTTTGAAAATATTACTGCATTAGTTTCTAGTGGTGATACTGGCTATGATACGAAGAATCTTTTTCTGCAATAAAACCATCTGGTGCCTAGACCAAAGAGATACCATACAGATACCATATCTTAGTCTTGATTCAACTTGTGTGTGATAGACTTGTGTCATCTGGGACTGAGACTATACAGTTTTCAATTTTCTTAATAGACAGTAAATCGAGTTTAGTTTCCTGACTATGGAATTACCATAGTTCCAGCCAAGATGTTCTTCTTCAAAGACCCACAAAAACTTTGTTGACTCAACATTCTCCATTAAAGTTGAATTAATTTTTATTTCAGGTTTACTGCATATTTTCTGACGATTATAAAATCGTATCATATGCGTTTCAGAAATGTTTAAATACAAATAGTTTGTGCTACACCATGTAGACATATTACTCAAATTTTTATAAGATAACACAAATAATTTCTCATTAGTTTAGTATAGGGCAGAAACAATATTGGTTTTTAACACGGATACCTGTGGAACCCTTATATAAATAGGAGATTGTTCAGATTTTTTTGTATTATACATGAGTTGACTCTTGATGTTATGCTGACAAATTGTTTTCGATTAGAAATGAATGATTTAACCCATTGTAATGTAAATTCACCAATTAAATGAGCATATAATTTATCTTGTCACAGTCACAGTCTGGTAAAAAACTGTTGATTATAAAAGTATATGTGTTGCTCTGCAAATTTCATGAGACGTTCTAAAACGGTATATTCAAATATTATTGAAAATGAGGAGGACACTGTAATCGCTCTATAATTTTTTACTGAATGTTCGAATATTGGAATGGCTTTGCCTTCAACAAAAGAAATTTTCACCAGAAAAACCAATGGTTGAATTGATATGTAGGATTTTCTTCAGAATGAACATCGGTACTTTATCTGGGCCCGCAGAGGTTTTGTTTTGTAATTTTCTTTTCAACAAGGCGAGTAATTCTGTTTCAACAAACAGTTCTGGAAAGAGTGAATTATTGCTCATTTTAAAATTTGTATTACGTGAAATTTTATTGATAATTTGATGAGGAGCTTTATCGAAATAAGAAATGATTAAATTCGCAACTGTTTCTGGGTCACTGACTGAATTTCCGTCCTCAACTTGCCAAATTGCTTTCGACTGATTGCTTGCACTCAGGTTGCAGTCAGTACATCATAGAGAGCTATGATATTCATTGTAAAGTTTCTATAGTTTAAAGACTTTCATATCACACAAATAGTTGTTTTCACAACTGATGAACTGCAGGTTCTAAACTAAAGTTTATTCAGTAATTATACATTTAACCACAAATTGGGAACGGCTCTGCAAACTGGAATATTCAGATTGACAGATATCGTAGATGGAATATTGATTTAAAAGTATTTATACCTATAATAATAAATGAAAAATATCAAATCGTAAGGTGAACATTTTAGCGAATTTCATAAATAAAAGAAATTCTTCAATTAAAGGTTAGGTTGTTTGAAGAATTAGCAACGTAATTTCGGTTACATTACTTTGACGTATTTTGGTCAAAAATTGATGATGCATGTGCAAATATCCATTGACCGTACTGTAAGATTGTACTAAAAATAATGGTGTACTGAATTATTGGAATACGGACAATGAATTATTTCAAATTCACATTTATTGTTTCTATAAAAACAGACGAATAAAAAACACTTGTATGTATGTTAAGAAATAAATGAAAAGCAGGTACTTTCTGCTTTCAAGGTACATATTTCCTGGACAAAACGATTCAAAATTATGTACCGTTTATAAAATATGGTTATAAAAATAACATATTTAACATTTTCAACAACATTCAACATATATAATATATAGTGTAGATAGTTGAACTATTTACAATTTGTCTTAACATGAAATATACCAAAAACGTATTCAACATACAATGCCAACATAACTCCACAATACAAATCTTTTTCTATAACATGTTGCACCATTGTGTTTTACCGATGACATAAGAATAAATATATAGTACTTAAAGAGAGAGAATAAAACAGAGATAAATTGTTTTGAGTGCAAAATATTGATGACATCATCGTTTCCGTTCACCAAATGTAACACAAAATTAAGCAAAAAAACTACTTGCCATCAGACAAACCACAATATGCAACTCTCAATCAGTTCTCAACCATTAACTTGTGTATAAGAATTACACAAAATAAAAACTTTACCTGGTTTATACAGACTATGTAATCTTTTTTATCAGTCTTGAAATTTCCCCTGACCATCACAGCCTTTTAGTACTTCCACACAAATCTACTGCCAATTGTTATTATATTCATTCTTGTATTTACTTGTGACGTCGTTGGTGAAGTTTGGTGAAAAATTGACGTTTATAGTGACCGGATGCAGCACGTGCATTGTGGGCATAACTTCCAAAATGTCGTAATTTTGTAAAAACGGGAGTAACGTCTTGTAGTCGATAGTGAGAGGTACGTAGTAGGAGCCTTTTGCATGCAGAACAAATATGGGTATGTTGAAATTGTGTTTCAAGTCACTTTGAGTTGAGAGGTGTTTCATGTTAGGAGAGGAATATCTGGGCAACATCTCGTTTCTTGGGGGTTCCAACTTCAATAGGTTGTTGTTCATTGATAAAGCACTGTCTGATGGGGATCGCCTGTGTGTATTTTCGCTGTCTGAGATTCTGGTGCAAGGTTCGCTGCTTGGAGGAGAACTGTGGCTGGAACTAGATGAAAAAATCAAACATTTTTTTAAAGAACCATGATCAGAATAGATAAAATGTAAATGAAGTTAGTTAATCGGTGAAACACCTTTTTATTCATAAGGAGGCAGAAGGTTATCTATCTATTTTATATGAAAGGGGTTATGCACTATTTTAAATTAATAACCTTGAACTCAACAAAAAATATTTTCGTAAGGACTTGAAGGCTTTGAAAGAGTATATGCAAACTGGAGAGATGTACATTTATCTTGGATTGGAAAGTGATAACTATGAAAAGACTCTCTCTGTTATAAGCTGTCACAGAAATTAATTTTCACATTATTTATTTTGAGACACTTCGGTATAACTATACAGAGAAAATTAAAAAATCTGGACTCTGATTTTTCACACAGTAATAAATCTTGTCTTAAAATATGTCCGACATTTATCTGAATTCAGCAGTCTTTGTTTTTTGAACAACTTTACTTACATAGGATTTGAATCTTACATGTTTATTCAAAGTAAGTCTCAAGCATTTAGATTCTGTAATTTCTCATATAATGACCCACTGTCCTTCAGTCGCTTGTAACAGACTTTCAAAGTATAACCAACTTAAATACCACTCGCTAAATCCGCTAAATTAGCATCTATATCGTATACTGGACCCGGATGTCACGCAGGTAGATGAAGCTGCTTTGTGGTGACTTTAGTGATATCTCCAACCCGTGGAAACCTGACCGACCGGAACCACAAAGTACGTCTGGCTTCTGTTGATGACTCCGTGCATTTGTGTTGTTTCGCAATCAAGTGTTGCCTGACCTTGCACTTGGCAATACCGTACTGATGACAACCATTGAGCCATAAACACGTGTCAACACGTGTCTGCATATTTTCTGAGCGATTCGTTCATGAATTTTCCCTGTTATTGATAATATCAAATCATCTCACTAAATAGGCCATTTTGTTGAGCTGATACCACTAGTGCTTTAGTTTTGTACACATGGCTCTTTACATATTCCCATAAAAAGAAATCTAATGATGAAAGATCAGGTGATCGTGCTGGCCATTCAATCGATCCTCGCCTCCCTATCCACCGATTGGGAAATGTTGTATCGAGGTATTGTCGGACATTAACTTGATAATGTGGTGGTGCTTCATTCTGCTGAAAGCATATCATATTCACTGAAACTTTAGGGTTTCCTGGATCAGAATAAAATCATTTTGAAGTAGTGCCAAATAATTATCGCCATTTAAGTTGCCCTCAATGAAAAAGGGAAACGATATGGTTTCCTACAATCCCTGCCCAAACATTAACCTTTTGAGGGTATTGCGTGTGTTCTCTTAACCAGTGAGGATTTTCCGTTAACCAGTAGCGGCAATTTTGCCGATTAGCATGACCGTTAAGAGACAAAGTACACTCATCAAAAAACATAACGTCTTCTAATTGGATGATATTGTTATCGAACATGTCCATCATTTGCTCAAAAAAATAAGTTCTTCTATCAAAAGCGTCTTCCATGAGCTCCTGAGTAGGTATTATTTTATAGGGATGCATGTTATTTTCTTTTAATATGTTTACTATCGATGTATGACTGACATTGAATGTAGTGGATGCTTATCTACTCGATGTATGCGGGTTTTCCTCAAACTCAAGCATCACATCTAATTTGAATTCATCACTCATTGCATTGGCAGCTGCTTTTTTATCTGCCCCACATGACCAAGCTCGCGAAACTGCTTCTCTATTTTGAGATCTAATCAAGTGACCCAAATTTCAATTTGAAAAAAAATTACCCTTTTGAAAATCTAAAATATTCTCTGAATAGTAAATTATTTTGGAAATAGTGAATTTGTTCTATAATTTACCTACTCACTATATACATCTGTATATAGATCTGAACAAAATGAGAGTTAATTGGATAGAACTACCCAACGCTAGATGAAAATACATATTAACAATAACTAACACAAAAACCGCGACACATGCTTTGCTATACAAAGGACATGTTTGCTTGCAATAAATGTATCAATCACATTTGTTTTACATAAGACATTTCATTTATGCTCGCACTATTTTCTTTTCTATAATAAAAATTAGACTCACCTTTGATTTTCAATACTTGTGAGAGAGTTTCTTCGTCCATTTTCCAACTTCTGCCGCTTGGAAGCTTCAAGCCCACCATTAACATCCTGAGAAAATCTGAGCTTAATGTTCGTCTTATATTTATAGGACATTCCGTTGATTTCTGTATGTTTTTCATAGTCAGACTCAACTGGGTGATTAGTCGATCTGGCAATATAAGAATCACCATTGTTGTTAGTTTCGGGTTCAATTTTAGAAACAGAGTAATCCGCTACTTTCACAGGTGTGCCGTTCCTGACTGGTTCGTTAGAGTTTGGTGTAGGTACAATGTGTTCTGTTCCAAGAGAGCTATGTCTGTTGGAAGTGAAAGAAGGTGCCCTGGAAATCGTCTCGCAATGTTTTTGTAGATGGTTTAGTAATCGCACACAAACTGCTTCGCGAGGAAAATGACCCTCGACTTCAACCATGAATCTCATAGCCTCTGACATACATTCTTGATATCCCAGTCTGAAATATTCAACAATTATATTAATTTCAGTGCTATGATTGATGGTGAATGATGAAAACGAAACTCAAAACTACAGGAAATGACTAGTTTAACACTATAAGAAAACCAGTATTATTTTATTTACTATTAATCCCCAATTTGGTTTTTAACATGGAGTTTCAGAATCAATATGACATTGCAATGTAAAAAAATTGAATCTATTGGGAAAATAACTATCGCTAGTTTTAAAAACAAAACGCCAGTTCAATTCTTCAGCTAGTAGTTACAATATCAGTAAGTTTGTTATAAGTGATCAATGAAATAAAAATAGTCAGCTTAATAAGAAAACAGTAAATGTAGACGTGGATATATGGGATGTGATTTCTGTTTCAATCCAGTACCTACACATTGTTTCAATCTACAAATACTTTTCTCAGTATACATATTCTGTCATCAATATATTTATCAAATGAATAAGATGTAAGTATTATTAACTTTTCAACTGTGATAGAAGACTGAAATAATAGGGTTCTCTAGAGAAAACAACTGAAAAAGTGTACAGAAATTTTTCATTTTATTGTAGATTCTCCTTGAAATCATCTCATCAGAATTAATACATAATATTTCATTCAACCTGAGCCGCTCTCAAATTGGATTTTCTCTCTAGATTTTATACTGACAACAATGATGTTTCCTAGATTAGTATTCAATGTAAATTTTCAGGGTATACTAGCAAAATTTATGCCTTAATTTCATATTATCACTTCATATATTCTTATTGTATGAGAGATTAATCAATCAACGTGAGTCAGAATTAAGATTAGTACTGAATTCAGTAATTTTACATTTTTTCAAAACAAATTCAAAACGAGGAATAGATATTCCTCTATGCTTGATATTTATACCTAACTTTTTGGATTATGTTACGAATTTTTTGAATTGTGAAATTTTTTCCTGAAGTTAGGACCAACGGAATGGGTTTTTGGGTCTTGCATCAATCATACTTTATGAAAACGTTTGAAGAAGCTATGTATATCGAAACATTTGTTGCGGTTTTGTAAACTGTCCAGTGAAAATTTCACTATAAAATTTTACTGAAATACGTTATCGATCTTTTATCAAGTATCGATCAAATCTATCACATACAGTGTCACAGATAAAGTTCGCGACATATGGAAGTTTTTCAAATAGATATAATGAAAATTTGACTTCGCAGTTAGTTTGTGCTTGAGAAATTAGTTAAAAACAGCCTCTTCCCTTTTGTTATGTGCTACTCTAAACCTGTCAAATTTGACATTGTTTTCGAAAATCCTCAAAAAATCAATTTTTTGTAAATTTCGGAAAATGCCAGAGAGAAAAGTTGCTCAGTTTCCAATTTTAAACCCTTGCTCGAAATTTGGACTCTCCACTGTCACTTCGACTTTTTTCCAATTTTTTAAGTTTTTCGAATCTTTTGCTCTATCGATTCGAACGAAACACGATTCAAATTTCATAATTTTGATGAATACGAGACACTTCAATGTCATATCTTGCCCAGAAAATACCTGCATTGGCCTGTTACCAGAAAAAGAAATAAATACACCTTCAGAAATTCGTTCTTGTTTTCGCAAATTTCATCTAGTATTTTTATTTATTTGTTAAACTGATTCGGATTTTCAATATATGGACGTTAAATATCAGTAATGAAATAACAGTATTTCTCGGCATTCTTATTATACCTACTCGTATTCCTTTTTTTAGCAGATTTGATCCCATTAGCTGCAGATGAGTTCGAAATATTTTTATGCAGTTTACACTGTTAGATGTAGTTAATGAGCAAATAACAACGCTTCTTGAATTAATTTCATGAATCTTACATTCTTTAATTTCACCATTAGATGTGTAAATAACATTAAACCAAAATAACTATTATCAAATTCATAACAAAACATTATAACATTCATTGATTCATCTCAATAATCTTATAAAGAACTCGAATTCATTATACAGTATGCCGTCCTTCCCATTCTATACAAATTATAGTTCTTTCATTCACAGACTTTGTGTCATTTTTAATGAATAGGGAATTAATATTAGCACAACACTCCCGAATAGTATTCTCTAAATATTCTTTGTTTGCAAATGGTCTGTGCTTATACACTTTTTGTTTCAGATAACCCTATAGCAAAAAGTCCATCGGAGATAAGTCCGGTGATCTTGATGGCCAATAATCTTCCCAATCTCGTATCACTTTGCCCCTAAACATCTGACTGAAACACTATTTCACTTCTAGCATTTGGTGAATCGGGGCCCCGTCAAGCTGATACCACAAATTTCGTCTAACACTTAGAAGCAGATTATCCAAAACTTCAGACAACTGATTCAAAAAATATGGTCCAATTATTTGGTTATGTAATAACCCACATCACACATTTGTCCTGAATGAATATAGGTCACGGCATCCTATTACAAAATTTGGATTATTGTTGGACCACCAGCGACAATTTTGGGAACTAACTGTTCCGTTCGTCATGAAAGTTGCCTCGTCTGTCCTGGGTGTCCCAAGGTCACCCAGGGTGATCCTGACAAGATTGCATCCTTTGATTCTGTAGAATATTGATTTAGTGTCGAAGTCATCAGGCCGTAGGTCCCACTGGGTCCTAAAATTCTTAGTGCAGCTCATTGGCTAAAGAGTCGGCAATGCGATTACCTCCTGTCGTGCTCTTTAACCCACCTCAGGATAACGTTATTATCTACCGAGTCTTTGACTAAATCTTAGTGACACTCTAGTACTAGCCCTGAGGTTACACGTTGTCTGTTCAAGGCTAATAGGGCTCGTCTGCTGTCAGTACAGATTGTTATGTTTTTGCCAGAAATTCCTTTCCTGGTTATTTTTTTGTGACGATTGAGATACCAGCCAGTTCTGTTTGTCCCACGCTGGTATTTTTTCACATTCCCCACTTAATTCTTAGGCTTAGTGTTCTGGAGTACATTCCACATCCTGAGCCTTCTTTGGTTTTTGAGCCGTCTGTATATATGCGTATTGCATTTGTAGCATCTGACTGTGTTCTGTTTTATTTGTATTTTGTAGGGTTTATTAAACACAAACCTGGGTTCAATTGCATCACTGGTTGCCTGCAGCAGAGGTTGCGAAGTAAGCGCTTCTCGCCGTAGACACAGCCTCAACTGAATATTTACCTGTAATGTTCTGAAGGATTGCCATGTTCCTGTTGAAGATATTTCATGTGTTTAATGGCCATCTCTATTATCTCTGTCTTCTCAATTCTTCCCCTGCCTTTTTTCAGATACTCGGTTGGTATCAATCGTGACAAATCGGCGAGACAATTGTTCATTCTATCTCTTCTCCTCTTTTCAATAATTCGATGAGACATCGGATCTTGCTATCAAAAAAATATACCTTCAAAGTCTCTATTTTTAAGGGCACCTTCAACTTTTTCGCTAAAATCATTTGCTATTCAGAAAACAGATAACACAAATCTTACATGGGACGAACACCACACAATGAATTTCGAAAGAATGTGCATAAAAACCAAAATGAGAATATCCGCCCAAGGATGCACGAGAATACATTTTTTATAACGCTAGAAGAGAATAAATATATCGAGTTCGATACAAGCGAGCGTCTTTAGGTTTTTTATCAGAAAAAAATCGCATCAACCAAATTGATTATTAGGTAGCGTTACAGTTCAGTTACATACAGTGTGAAAAGCCAAATGGGATAAATTCATTATTTCGGTTACGGTACATATTTCAACAAAATCCCAAAATACGTCAAATTTAAATTATAATTTGACATACTTCAACGGAAAAATGTTACCCCTACCTTCAACCCCCGTCGAATGTCAGGTACAATCCCCAATTTTTTAAATGGGAAGTATAGACTTGTGATATATCGTTTGAAAGGTCTCTTCAATCTCTATTCAATAATGTTATCGCTTTCAAGTGTATCGCAACAATTAAGATAAAATAAATTAAAATTACGTGGTTACCGAAATTCGATAAAATACACTCAAAACTTATTGCAATATACTCAAAACTCATTTCATGTTGAAGTATTGATAATAAGAAAGTAAGCAAAAACCATAGCAATGTTCTCTTTGGATGGTATCCTTTAAAAAACTATAAATAATTTTCGTCAACTTGTCAATTTGTTTTGTATGTTACAACATTAGTTGTCAGTATTTCAATTTAAGTTTAAAGTTCGGTAACTTCAAGACTGACAAATGGTTAGATTAACGGAAATGCATGAAATAACAGTTTTACAAATGATTGATAACGGAGATAAAACTCGAGAAGCTGTTGCGCGAGCTTGGTCATGTGGGGCAGATAAAAAAAAGCTGTTGCCAATGCAATTTATTACCATTCATTCAAAGTAGAACTCATGTGAATGATATCTGATTCTTATTCCTCCACAAATGTTCGATATACAAACTGAATAGAGA